TTTCTGTCTCTTTTTCTCTCTCCTCGCTCCCACTCTCCCTCTTTCTTCCTTGTCTCTTTCTCTCTCTCCTCCCTCCCTCCGCCTCTTACTTTCCTGTTTCTTCAGCCCTTTCCTTCATCCCTGCCTCTCATCTTCCTCCCTCCCCCCCCCCCCCCCCCCCCAATTGAATGAGAAAAAACAGGGGGAAAATGCAAATAAATCTTCCTGCAGGGCCCTTTAAAAAAAAGAAAAAATCACCATTTCACCCTCTCTCAGGCTACTCTTGTTCGGGCACAGCTAAGAGGCTTCTGTTGTCCCGCCTGTTTTATAAAATTGTTCTTCTTCCTGTGGTTTTTTCCCTCCCACCAGTTCAAAGCATTCTTGGCTTTGATTTTCCTTGGCACCAACCGAGGCTGCACATGGTTGAGTTCCCTTTTCTCTGTTTACACTGACGGAAAGGAAGAAAGACAAGGCAGAAAACGTGCACAGGCCTCTTCACACATTCCTCAGAAGTGAGGTCAGCCTTCCATCGTTTGGTAGATCTCCAGATGTTTGAATTGAACTTCCAGAAGATCCCAAGGAATCCTGGAGATTTAAGATCCAACACTTAGGGAAGAGTACCGGTAGGGAAGAGGCTGAATTTGATTAGGTATATCCCAGATAGGTGACATGACTTCCACCCCTCTTAGTCTCAGATAGCAAAATAACAAGAGTTGGAAGGGACTTTGGAGGTCTTCGAGTCCGGGGGTCGCCAACCTTTTGGACCTCAGGGACCCCCAAACTCATCATTTTAAATCCCGTGGACCAGAGACCCCGAGAAAATCCCACAAAAAGGCTGCAGGAAAATCCCCCACCCCGTTTTCCTACCGATCGATCCAGAGGTGGGTATTCAGCAGGTTTTGACCAGTTCTGGAGAACCGGTAGCGGAAATTTGGAGTACTTTGGAGAACTGGCAAATCCCACCTCTGACTGGAGATTTTGCAGTATCCTTCCCCGGCCACACCCACCAAGCCACACAGCCCACAGAACCGGTAGTAAAAAAAATTTGAATCCCACCACTGGATCGATTGTTGTTTATTTGAGATCGCAGGATACCGTCTCCAGCTCCATTCTCAGGGAGAGAGAGAGAGAGAGACTTTTGGCTTCTTGCAAGGAAAGCAGCAGAAGCAGCAGAAATCTCTCTTTCTCTCCCCCAAACTCCGCCTGAAATGAGTCTCTGCCAGCGCAGCCTCTTGGAACAGGAGGCCTTGCAGGGTCCCCAAGACTCATTTCTGGCGGAGTTTGAGGGAGAGAAAGGAAGATTTTGGCTGCTTTCCTTACATGCAGCCAAAAGAAGAAGAAAGAAGCGGAAAGAAGCGGCCAGGCGAGGCGCATGGGGCAAGTGAGGCAAGTTCCCCCACCCTCCGACCTTCCCCCCGTCCCCTCACTACCTCGTGTTGTTCGCAATGCAAGCGACGCAAGCCTTGTGTTCCCGTGGGCCATGTGGGCGGCGCAGCCTTGTGTTCCCGCGCAGCCTGGATTCATTGCTTTGAGTGTGACATTTTTCTGCGGCCCACCAAAATTTTCTCACGGACCACCATCTTAACCAGCAGTTAAGATTAGGCACAGTTCGGCGAACTGGCCGATCCCACCACCGACTGGTTCTGCTCCCACCCTTTTTGGGGGTGGGTGGGGCGGTTTTCAGGCCATATTTTGGACCATTTTCAGGCTGTTTTTTTGGGCCCAAAACTTGAAAGCTTGAAAAACGGCGAAACAAAAAAGGCCAAAAACAGGTAGGGGTGGGGCCAGCCAAGTGATGGGATTGGCCGCAACCGGCTGAATCCTACCTCTGCTTTTGAGGCGAGTGGCTGGGAGGCAGAGCTGGGTGTGATGAGTGATGTCACCCACCCAGTCACATGACCAGCCGGCCACGCCTACCCAACCACGCCTACCCAACCAGGTTGTTAAAAAAAATTGCAGTCCACCACACTGAATGGTTCCCTATTGTACCAAATATCTCAACAAAACTGAAGGCATGAAATCATTTTTCCCCCTTCCAGGACCTTCCCTCTGAGCATGGGAGCCCACGGTGCGCCTCTGCTGCCCTACAGCCCAGCCAAAGGGGCTTTACGAACAGCCCAGCCTCACTGGCATCCAGCCACAGCCCCACAGCTCTTAAAGGCAAGGACCCAAATTTGGTAAGTGGAAGGGTGGTTATAACTCAAGGACTGTGTCTACTCCATACTCCTTTTCCTTGAATGAATTTGCCTTTTAGCAATAGCAGTCAGACTTCTATCCTGTCTCACAGTGCTTTAGCCCTCTCTAAGGGGTTTACAGAGTCAGCCTCTTGCCCCCAACGATCTGGGCCTTCATTTTACCGACCTCAGAAGGATGGAAGGCTGAGTCTCAACCTTGAGCCCCACCAGGATCGAACTGGTGGCTGGGAGCAGAGTCAGCCTGCAATGCTGCACTCTAACTACTGTTGAGAGAGGGAGGGAGGAAAGGGGGGACAAAGAGAAAGAGAGAGAGAGAGAGAAAGAGAGATTGTAGATAGGCAAAAAATAGACAGATTAAATGTGAGATGGATGGATGGATGGATGGATGGATGGATGGATGGATGGATGGATAGGTAGATAGGTAGGTAGGTAGATAGATAGATAGATAGATAGATAGATAGATAGATAG